TCCTTCCCCTCCTCCCCCCTTCTCTCTACCCTTCCCCTCCTCCTCCTCCGCTCGTTCCTCCCCCTCCTCACCCTCGCCAGCAGCTCGATCCCTTCCTCCACACTGATCCGGCACTCAGACGGCAGGAGATACCTGAAGCCTGCGGTCAACAGTAGGAGACGACCAAAAGCCGTGGGGAGGACTGTAAGGAACAGAGAGGGGAGGAAGGGAGAGGCAGGAACGAGAATGCGAGAGGGAGAAGGGACGAGGGAGAAAGGAAGAGAGAAGAAGAGAGGTGAGGGGAGGTGAGGGGAGGGGGGTGGAGGGAGGGAGAGGGAGGAAGGAGAAGGGGAGAGGGAGGGACCTGGCTTGCTTGACGATGTGGGAAAATCTAGCCAGAAGCTCTTCGGGCATGACTGAGCTGAGAATCAGGACGACAACAAGTAAGAGGATGAGGGGATGAAAGTGTTGGAGGTTGGCAAAGGAGGATAAGCTGGAGAAGGAGGACGGAGAAAGAGAGCAAGGGAGGAGGAGGACGGGGGGGGGGAGAAGACCAGGCGTGTTATTGCAGAGACACTCCACAGCATCTTGGAACGAGGGGAACGAGGGACCTGCTGCTGCTGGATCAGGAGGGAGAAGGTAGAGATTCCTGATACACAAGTAGAAGAGAGGAGAAGAAGGAGGGTAGAAGAGTTCTTGTGGTGAGCGAGGGGGCAGGAGAGGAGGAGAGCGGATTAAGAATGGGAGGAGGAAGTGGTGGAGGAAGTGAGGCGAGGAGGAGAATGGATCGGGGAGGGACCTCGGAGGAGGAAGCGGGAAAGGAAGGGGAGGAGGAAGAGAGGGAGGGAGGAAGGGGGGAAAGAGAGGGAGGGATGGGGGGGAGGAAGTGGTGGAGGGAGAACTTGGGATTTCACAGTCTCTTCACAGACCTTCATCGCCCTCGCTCGTATCGCTCAGTGAGACTCTTCCAGCCTGACAAGACCGGTCAGAGGAGGAAGCAGAGAGTCTCAACCCGACCTCCAGCGATCGCAGGACGAGCAGGCGCAGCATGAGCCGGAGGGTGCGGGACTCCTCGATCTGAGAGACGTGAGGAGGTAGCGGGGAGGTAGAGGGCAGGCATCTCACCTTGAAGTCTGATGATTGGAACAGCTGTTTGAACGATGAACACTCTGACGAGAATGTCACGACAAGTCCTCGTGCTCATCTGCGGCCGTTCACCATAGCGATGCAGTAGCACGTCGACGTTGGCGTCGGTGGAGCAGTCCGGGCAGAACTTGATCTTGGAGCTGAACGACGAGCATGTCATGCATGAGCTCGAGCTGTCATTCAACTCACCACCCGCTACAACAATCTCCTCCAGCTGGCCGGCAGCACGACGAGCAATGGCTCTCCAGAAACGCGTCCGACAGGCTCTTTGCCACCGCCGGGCATATCAGGATGCAGAGGCCAGACGCAAGCCTCTGAGATGCCACGAGGAACCTTCCTCTTCCCTCCTCCTCCTCCATGGCGTAGAAGGAGGGTTCATCCTCCTCCACGGCTCCTCCCATCCCTTAGGGCAACAGCTGGTCCAGGAAGGCGAGGGAAGACTGTCCCCACCACCCGCGTCAGCCACGGCGTCTCGTAAGGAGCGGACTGACCTGCAGGTAGTCGTGGCAGACGGGGAGGAGGTGGGAGGAGGTGAAGTCAAAGATCAGGTAGGCCAGGGGCTGCGGACCGAGTCAGCTCCGGGCGTCATGGCGGGGGGTAGCCAGACCACAAGGAAGGGAAGACCCAGGAAGAGGGGAAAGATCCAGATGAGGCTGTTGTCGTTGTCGATCCTTCGAGCTACCTTGTTCCTACTCGCTGCGATAGCGGCGGCAGGCATGCAGGACTGTACCTGGCAACGTCATCATTGCTCGTACTCTCTCCTTCCTGCTCTCCCTTCTCATTCCCCTTTCGTTCCTCTCCACACTCCCTATCTCCTCCTCACTAGTTCTTTCCTCCACTCCCTCTCCCTCTCCCTCTCCCTCT